AAAGGATTAAGTAGCAAGACAGATGGTAAACTCTGTATTTTAAAAAACTGCAATGAACAAATGAAGCAAATGCAGATGTTACGTCTGAAAAATGACAGTCGAATAGGTGGCTTCTACTGGACGACGATGCACCGTCGCTCGTTGGCATTTTCGTTAAGCATTTGCATCAAAGAAATTTGCCATTAAAGCTGAGTGAGCTCGTTTTCAAAACAACCTTCTACAACAAACAACCAAAACAAATTTCGTACCCATTTCAGCTTATAAGGCTCAGATGGGTATATTCAATAATTTTGTTCCTAATTCTACGTGATCGGGAAATATCCCCTCATTTTTTTCACAGCAGTCCATGTTTTTACAATCCCTTTTGCAAATAAAGAACGTAAAATTAAGGCTCTCAGCATCATAACATCTTTCTGCATACTGGCTTATTTTGTTGATATATGATTGTATAAGAAAACAATATTGCATAATAAACAATATTGTTTTTTTTATTATTATTATTATTTCGATTTTATTATTATTTTTTTTATTAGAAGCTTTTAACCTCATTTACGCGTTTCCAAGATATGTTACAAGGCAACATGTTATCGTCTTATAAGATATTTCTCCCGCCTCCTTAGCATGCCTTCGTGGTGTAGTGGTCAGCACGTTCGACGCGTATTCGAGAGGTCCGTGGTGCGAGTCCTGGCGAGGGCATTGTTCATTTTCCATCTTTCCTGCTTCAAAATAACCTAATGACTCTACAGTCTTTAAAAAATATCAGCCTTTGATAATGATTTGTCATAATTTCAAAGCTTTAAATAATAAATTCAAAGATTTAAATAAGCCTTGTTTAATTTCATCCTTTTCAAACTTAAAATGTCGAATTTATACAAATGTTCTTTCTATACATGCCGTTATTATAATTAATAAATGCTGTGAGGAACCACACATTATTTATCTCAATTACAAAACATTTAAAAAGCATCAGACTCAGTAGCTATGAGAAGAGACTTGAGATAATGAACATATACACTGTTGCAGTTTTTTTCTGTGACAATTGTTTGATCGTCCGAAGTGATCACGAATTTCGGGTTTATCCGAGATATCCTAGGTCCATATTTCCTTGAATAACAGAGATTATATTATAATATGATTAATAACAAATACGTTAAAATGATTGAAGTATTTTAAAGTGCTCAGAAAATAGTAAAAAACTAATAAACGTTATTTTAATGTTTTTATACATCAGTGTATTCTACAGATTCAGATTTAATTCAAAACCAATAAATTCAGTACCAACAGAATGTAGTTTCTTCAGTATTTTATAAAGGAATTTAAAAGTGAAGCGAGAAACTAACTACACTTTTATTTTAATGTTAAAAATAACACAATACTTACTTCAGAATGCAATAAAAATAATTCTTCCTTAATACTTATTACACTGAAATTTGTTATTAATTTTCTAAAATTTCACAACATAACTTAATATGAAAGTAGATGCTTCAGTTTCTAAATTTTTAACACAATTTATTATTGAAGAATTTAAAATTTTTTAACATACCTAAGTACTCCTAAATTTCTTCCAATAGAAGTTTTTCTATTTTTGAAATTCCTGAACTATCCGGTTTATTCTCTTTGTCTATGGCTCAGTATTTCATTAATCTTCAGCCCAACCGGAATAGTGGCTAGTGACACGAACTTCCGTACCGAAGGGACACGGCTTGAGAAAAGGCATGGGTGTTTATAAATGTATAGAATCTGTGCGTGCGAGCCGAAAGTCCTTTAAAAGATGTTTTGGTAGGAGAAGAGGAGTTTGAGACCATCACACCCGTCCCACGGGATGCTCTCCTTCAAAAGGGGGGGGGAGATAATGAACAAAGTCGTACTGTCACCTGTATGTTGCTCAAGGCTCTTGTCAAAGACAGGTCTAGCCTTACACTACTTGCCACGATGGATTCCGTGGACTTTTTTATCTTACTGTCAGACAAGTGAGGTAAGTCACAACAACAAACAACATTTCTTTAATCTTTTCTGAGTGAGTCAATTTATCTCCATGAAGAAAATCATAATATGCTACGCCTTCTTAGAAACGCAGAATAAATTCATAGGTAACTGTTCCTCAACCTTACATTTATTTTAATATTCCAGCTTTCTAAAGCATTTCCTATTCTATGGCATTCATCATAACAGTTCTATGTATTACCAGCAGCATCATTTTCTAACTATTGTTCAATCATAAAATGACTGAAAATTTCTATTTCTATTTTTTTTTTTTTAATGACTTTGCAAATTTTCTATTTCAATCATTTGAAAATTTTTTTTTTTTTTTTTTTTTTTGGAGGTAGGGACAAGAAGATCTTTCCATTATAATCAACCAACCATAGTCTACTATTTTTAAACGAATGTGAACCAGTGCAGAACACATTCGAATGTGAGGTATAATCACGAGTAACTTTTATAGTGGTTTACTAAGACTTACCTTTGCGCCTTCCTCTGCAAGCATTGGTTATAATAGAAATTGCAAGCCTTCATGTCAACAAAAAGAAAATATTTTTAACAGCACTAATAACAGATAATTCAAAAATAAATTCTAAAGGATTTAGAGAATATGATTTCTTTTTTTTTTTTTTTTTTACTTAATGAAGAAGAAATGCTCTGATATGTTTTTCCTTCTTACCTTGGTAATAAAGCCTATGTTACTGACATTTCTTTTGTTATATCAGCAGAAATTTCATCATATAAATAGATAAAAGCTGATGAAACCTGCAGTATCCATATAGATGTTCGACGAACATTATTTGAAAGTTCCATTACGAAAACACTTCTCGTTTTTTACGTTATTCTTAACACTTTCGTTTTCGAATGTAAAAAATTAATATCTCTGTCCACTATCAAATAGCCAAATATTTTCCGATTGTTTTTCTGGAATAATGAAGTCTTCTGTTTATCTGTCAATGAATGGAAACCAGGTCCTTAGAGTGATGACAAACATTGGCATTTTTTTTAACTCAAAGTTTAGTATATTAGTAAGGCAATCTAAACATTTATCTGCTAAACCATGGACAAAACTTTCTTCATATGTCGTTAAATGGCTGATAAATCTTCCCAATTCTTCTAAAACAACTCCTTTTACGTTTCCGTACTTCAGTTTTTGTTTCATATCTTATATATACAAGACTTTTCTGTGACAAGTGACTTTCTCGTATGTTCATATGAGAATTCTTCCATTGCAATTGCTAGATCAGCAAATTCAGTGCCTATTTCTATAAGACTTGCACTAGACTTAGGCAACTGAATCGCATTGGAATTGTACTTGTATTATAAAAAAGCTGGAAAACCGACGCAGTAAACCCGTTCAATCACTCGGAAATGAATCTTAAAAGAACTAGATGACATTAAATATCTACAATAAACATGTAAAAGTGGTTTTGGGAGCAGTAATTGTATAAAACTAATGTTCCATGTACTAGGTTATTCGGATGGCTTGTAATATTTTCAGCTGAACAAACTATTTGCTAGCTCAACCGCGGGTTCGAATGCATTGTAAAGTTTAGTTGTTTGTGTGTATCTTATCCCGTTCTCGCGAATGCAATATCCGTCCACCTTCTCTGGTACACACTGAACAAGGCTCCTAAGTTATGAGACGGCTCAATGATTGCTTCCATTCCCATCAAACAAAAATATGAGGCTCTTTGAAAAAAAAAATATCATTATTTTCATCGCGTTTGGAGACTGTTTTGGTTTAGTTGATATAGAAATTGGCTGTTGCTTTTGATTAATTCAACGTGGCAAACCACGTGGCACAACATGGCAGTACGTTCTTCGTGTGCTTCATTAATTGTTTGTGTAATAACTACCTGTATAAAGGAAAATTAATTTCGTTGGTTTATTTTAATTAAAGTGAACTGTGGTTGGTTAATTTTCATATTAAACGAGGACTAGCTACCTCAGTAAACGCTAATTGACAATGATAAAGTACACGAGTGCTATCTGCCTCAAGAGTGCTTTAACAGAAGACTTTCTAACAGAAATTTTATCTCATTCATATTACGTATAATGAAACGTCAAAAACGTGCTGTGCGTTTACCGAGGATGAGCTCGGAGTAAAATACCAGTTTTTTGGTTTTGAGAATTCGGCTAATTTTAAACTCTATACGCAGGATCCTGGACTACAGTCCCGGTCCAGTCTTGTACTACAGTTCTCGGAAAAAATAGGCGGAAAAGAACGCAGATAAAAGTGTACCGCCCCAGCGAGACAGCACGGTGATAAGGGTGCAGTAGATTTCCGAATCGAATGTCCAACTCTGTACTCAAAATCAACTGTCTAGTATCTGCTTGATGTAGACTGTCTATACAGTTTTAACAGTAAGTTGTCCAGTATTTATAATTATAAGTTTATTTTGATGCAAACTAAGTTTACGTGTGCTAGAATTAAATTAATAAGTTCATATGTTGTGGAAATTAAATGTTTTTAGTTTACTCAAGTAAAAACTATAAAATTTGCCGTAAAATTGTATATTTACATTGATTTCCAAACATATTAAAAATACATTTAACATTTTGTTGGTTTAAATAAAGCATTTTTGAGTATGCTTTCTTAATATAAAAATAATATGTCCCCTTGATATTTTATGTGGGTAAATAACCCATTATTTTATATACTGCTTATTGAAAGTAGAGAAAAATATTTTCTTTTCCATACAATTCTTAATAGATGTACGATTTATGCAAAGTTACAAATAACGAAGAGAAAAATAACCATGATATTTTATGGTTAAAATTCTGCCAAAATGTGAGCATTTTTGAGCTACTTTTGCTGCAATTTTTAATCCGACAGATGGCGCTGTCGGAGCGGATTCCAATACTCCAATCTCAAAACCGAAACGTGCAGAAGGATCAACGCTTGGTTAATTCTTCTGATAATAGGTGGCGCTGCAAGTCAAGAATTTCCACTTGCGATACCATTCCCGAAAAAAATTCCCAGCGCCATCACGTGGTGTTATTGCCGACTGTTGCGGCGGCGTTGCGAGCATCGTTCTCTAAGAGCAGAATAGGCTCTGCTCTGACGATCAGTCAGCTAAAAGCACTTTAGATGATCAGTCACCAAATTCCGGCAGTCGTTTATAAATAATACCGTAACAATGGCCGTATAGAATTTTGATATCCATGTGTTGCGATCCTGAGTGCTTTAAGAACTGCAGGATACACAGATTGTGCGGATTTTGTGCACATCGAAATCGAGATTCCATGTAGACTACTTTCTTGATTTTTAATGCAAGTTATCAGCTCACTGTACAGTTCCTTTGGAAATAGTGCAGAGCTATCAAAAGAATATACTTCCGAACTCCAAGCTGTAATGCTGGTAAGTCGGAAAAGTATACAGTTCTCTTTTTTCAGGTTGTACAGCAATTTGTAGAGCACAAGGTTATAGAAATCAAAAAGAAAAAGTGCAAATTACGTGATACTTCTCACATACAACCTCAAGTTTATTAAATTTAAGATCATATAACTATCAGACTAGAGGAAAAATCAAAAATTAAATTTTAGAAAAATAATTAATTCGAGGCCAACACTATCTAATTCTTTCTCTTCCATTAGGAAAACATCAAAGCCTATGAAAGAAATTCTCGTATTATGAAGACCGAAAAATAGGTATAAAAGACTGAAGCATTTTTTTAATGAAAAAAGGAACTGTATTCAACAACATAAAAATATTATTAATCAAATATTCGCTTTAAATTTTATACCTAGCTGTATTTCCCATTAATTTTTTTTCCGGGGGGGGGGGAAGGAGCACACAAGTATCAGTTTAAAAAATATGAACTCTTTCTTTTTTTTTTTCCGCTTTTAAGCGCATCATATTATTAATCTAACATATCTAATTTGTATTATTAATAAAAATGAAGCCTTCCCCCGTGAATTTCTCTTTGAAAAATATTTCAAAAGAAACGAAGGTACATTGATTTAAATAGAATTAGTAAATTATACCAAAAGCGTATGAAAAAGAAAACTTAATTAAAAAGGAAGACAACATAAGAATCATTTTATTAAACTATATTTCTTTGTAGACCTTTAACATGCGTATATTTCCAGCGTATGTATCTCGTACTTTGTGTGATATCTCATGAGATTTTTCAGTTCTGAACCCGCGCAATCAATCGTATTCGTTCTGGGAATGTATATAGTAGATATAAGTAAAATGATAATGATAATTCATTGGTTAAAATGATCACTATTTACTAGATATTCAAGTCGAATTTCTCTGGTAGCTTTTGACTTGTATGTTTGAGTTTCGAGCGCGTGAATAATTAAATTAACAGAAAACAGTTACTACTGTTAGATACATCACCTCCTCCTTCAAAAAAAAAAAAAAAAAAAAAAAAAAAAAAGCTAACAAGCAGATACTATAATGTCAATACATACACTAAAGTTCTTAACACTCTTAAGAAAAACGTTCTGAAAAAAATTTTTTGTACTTCACTAAAACAAAAAATTTTATATTTTACATTATAGTAAAGTACAAAAGAATTACAGTATCTTCTGTCACTTATAAAATTTTTCAACTGGAACTTACCGTGAACTGTTATTGCCCATTTTAGAATTTTATATATTGCATGCGCAGGAACAGCATATAGAAAACGAATGAGAAATTCGAAAGCAAATCTTGATTAATACCAATTCTGTTTTGTCTACTGAATGAGAATTCGCGCTTTTAATCATATAACATTTAAATTTTTAAATGAAGGTTTGAAGCAAAAAATTAGCGTGCATACTTAACGGTTATTAGCTGTTTAAGGGGTATTATTTTATATTATTAGCCGCAGGAATGAAACTACAGCTACTGGTGTTTCTGAATTCATTTTATTTAAATTTCTTTAATCTTAGTAATGGTTGAACTGTTTACGTTTGAAATATATTGCTAGAACATACGAGTATACCACTAGTAGCATGTACCCATATATGATGGAACGTAACAAAATTTACCACGAAAGCACGCTCAACTTCTTTTCTACATTTCTTCACCATGTATTGTAATTTTTACCAATTTCTACTGTTCTCGTGCTCTTTCACGTTTATTCAAATTTGTTAACCACCTCTGTGGCTTGAATATAGGACAGCTTTACGTGTAAAGCCGTGCTACATTTTTTAATATATTTTAAAAAGGGGGGAGGAAGAGGCTGTGAGTTACTTTATGAGAGTAAAAAGGCTATATAAGGAAAGCCCTCTATACGTATGAGCTTGATATGTTGAATATATCTAAAAGTAAGATGATAAAATATTCGAACATCATGCTCTTGAGTTAAAATTAACTAAACATATTTTCTTCTAACTTAAAAAATAAAAATAAATAAAGAAAATTTTCTTAATAATAAAGAAATATAAATTAATAATATACAAATATAATTTGAAAAAAAGATGCTTTAAATTTTCAAATAATTAGATGCAAAAAATGAAAAAAAATAATAGTCTGCCGGCAAACAATCGAAATGCAAAAGATCGTTTCATTCATTGTGGCTTAATAACACTCTACATTTTAAATCCGAAAATTTTAAAATTAATATCTTATTTTATATATATTAACGATTAGTTTCAGTTATAATACGGAACATAAGATTATGGAAAAATACCTGTTAAGTGTAATGATTAAGTTTCTTAACTGAAAACTAAATTTCCTTCATTTAATATTTTTAACAGTGTAATATACTTAATCACGCAGCTTGTCTATCTTTTAAGCCCAAAGGGCGAAAGCCCAGAAGGGCTATTAATTTCGCTTTGACATTTTGCGTCCTTCACTTTCTGCGTTGATTCACTTTTGAAAGTGTTGCCACCAACTATTACAACCTTGTATTATATTTAAACAAATTAAATAATGAAGAATCTACATTAAATGTATATGTGTTTCTCGCATTGTGATAAAACAACGGTACTTAGAGCCATCCAATTTTGAAAAACGTAATCCTCCAGCGAATATGGGCATCTGGAAGCCCTAGTTTGGAATTTGGGTTTTGTTATATTATCTATTTCATATTTTGTCAGGCATAGAAGAATTTTTGATTAAGAAACTCAACGATTTCAAAGCGAGGAATGGCAACACTGTACGGGGAAAAAAAATCTCCAACGTGTGTTTGTCGGAAATTCTAAAGATACGCTCATTTTAAAATTATTTTGCGATATTGCTGTTGAACTGACTTTTATGGTTTAAGTGCGAAGAACGTGATATTTAATAAATAAATGTAACACTCAGAACGTTAAACGCCTTTGGCCGTAATGTAAAATCTGAAAGCTTTCAGATTTATTATTATTATTATTTCCCCGCTTCTCCCCACCCTTTAATATTAGCAATTTTCAAAAATTCATATAACCTAGAATTTCACCGATTCAGGCGAACGCAGTTAGCAAGGTAGGTTTTCGCGCTTATTAGCGGTGCTCAAAGCTATTTATGAACAGAGAATGTGTATAGCGAGTGTACTAAGAAGAGAGTAGCGCTCGCGTATAGGGAGATGGTAAGAGCTTTCTGGTAGGAGATCAAACAGCAATAGCGTTTCTCTAATGGTAGCAAATCTGTGTAAAAACATATTTCGTGCGTAGAATTTCATCAAATATTAAATGATTCAAATAAGAAAGTATAACGTACTGGAACTCATGTGAACGGGAGATCCCGGCGCAGTCCGATAGAAAATACATTTGCAATGAGAACGAAGCCTTATACCACAGCCAGACGTTAGGAGTTCCGTCTGAAATTCAGCACAAAAGTATTCAGTCAAATCTATTATTTCATTATGTAATTACGAAATTACAAAATTTAAGCTCGTTACAAATGTTAATTTATGTTCCAATTACAAAATTTATGTTCATTAACAATAATCATTTTATACGATGAGAAGTCAATATTTTCATTGTAAAGTAAAAAATATTGACGACGCTGATGTCAGTCTAATAAGAATTTCATCAATTAAAGGTGTTAAGGCGAAAAAACTGGTTAAATGGGCTTTCAGTAAGCAAATCGTTTTTCATCTTTTTATTTGTCTGTAACCTAGCATTCAGTAAAAAGCCGTTTGCTAGATTACTGATAAGTGAAATGTTAAGCTATTTACTTTATGATGCAATATGTTTGGGATATTATCATGTCATACGCGGAGTTTCAAATAAAAGTATACCCGTTTGTACTATTGTGTATATATAACATAGACGAGCATACTGCATTCTGTATTTCTGACATGTATAATTACAAAAAACAGAAAGCGCCTAATTGTATTAACACAAAATAAATCAGTATGCTTAATAAACCGAACCGAATCGGTTTGGGTATACTTTTATCTAGGACAGTTTATTATCTTTATTAGATTCATTCTGTTTCTGAAACACCGATTATCTGTTCGTTTAGCATAGAATATCCAAATATAATTTTGTAGGCTGATTCGAAATTCTCATGCCTCATCTTGCAACGTAGGTAGTTCGGTACAAGGTTCGAATCCCGCGAACGGGCTGGCTCATGGGTGTTTTCGTGGTTTTTTCCCATGTGTAACGTGTATACGAGCCAGTTTCCCTTAGAAAGTCCTCCACGAAGGCATCCCTCCCCTTAGGCAGATAGCCCTCGAGGCTTTGCCGTAATTAAATAACTTAACCTAACCTAACATCTTGCAACATAATAGTATCAGTGTTGGTACTACGTAGTTTGGACCTATTATTTGACAACATGCAACGTAGTTTTTATAATATCATTCAATGTTATTTTTTGCTTAAATAATAATGCATTAAAATATGTTTAATATTAATAAAACATTTAAGATCTGTAACTAAAACAACTTAATTAGGCAAAATGACCATTAGTGAAACTAAGTGATAGAGATTAGAATATTAGGATATCTAGAATTTTAGAATTTTGAATATTTCTTATCTTTATCTTCGTAGCAAAATGTTGTTATTAATGCTTAGTAAAGATTAAATATTTCCTAACAAAATGCTTAGAAAAGATTAAATATTTCCTACCTATTGAAATGCTTTACTGTATAATTAAAGTGAATTTTCGCTCTTTTTGGAAGAAAATTTTCCGGTGATTATCACTGATTTCTATATTCTATAAAACATTTTCTCACAATTTACAGTTATTTGTGGGATATTTTGAATTTATTATTTAATTTCAGGCTTTTTGTGAATAAATTTCTTTTGAAATCCTTCCAAAATGTGAAAGTAATTTTCATTAGACTTACTTATGAAGACATTTGACTTATTTATAAATTTAAACCATGTGAAGTATCTTTTATTGATTTTTATCAAGCTTTTCTTAACTTTCATCAATAAGATACTAATTTAGCATTTTAAAAATAATAATTGTAAAAAAAATAAAACTTAACGATTTTT